TTGGAGTGGGATCTGCACTGTGGTCCTCCTGCTCCCTGACATTGGGGTCCTCCCTAATGTCCAGTCCCTGCCCATACCTGCTGTGATTCCCTTTCCAGGCCCCAAGAGCCATTCATGCTGTTCCTTTGCTGTTGGGCCTGGGGGTGGCCATGGGGATGGGACCTGGACCTGCTGGCCTCGGTACTTCTTCACAGATGTACAATAAGCTTTCTCAGCAGATGATAGGTGACATGCACCCTGTTGCAGCACTATCTTGGACCTGCAATCTCAACTCGACTCCTTGGCTGCAGTAGTCCTCCCAAACCGTCGTGGCCTGGACCTGCTTACCGCCAGAGAGGGAGGACTGTGTCTGTTCCCACAGGAGGAGTGCTGCTTCTATGCCAGTCGCTCTGGTATTGTTCAAGATGAGATTAAAAGGTTACAAGGACCTTGAAAACCGTCGGAATGAGCTGCAATCAAGCTTTCTATGTCTGGGCTAAACGGGTGGCTCCCTTACCTTCTCCCCTTGGTAGGCCCCTCGGTTACTATAATTCTGTATTTACATTTGGACCTTGTGTAATCAACAGGCTCCTCCAGTTGCTCAAGGATGGAGCCAAAGCCGTTCAATTGACGGTGGTCCGGCAGCCATATGCCGTCTTACAAGATACTGACTGGGAGCCCTGTGAGGTTGGCCGTGGCCCCTACCAGGATGTGCAGGTGTAAGTCAGAGGCAGGAGGGTTTTCTTCATAGGCCTAAGTCACCTCCCTTCCTTGAGGTTCCCACTGGTCTGCCGACCCTGCAGGTGAACTGCCTGAAGAGCCAGAGTGGTAGTCAGTGACGGGTAAGATCCCCAGAGGGGACGACCTAAGACAGGCACACTCTCGAGTAAGGCAGACACCGCCAATAAAACAAAACGGGGGAGATGTAGGGCCCGTCACATCAGAGATGGAGAAAAGGAAACCTAACTGCAGACCGAGGCTCACCTCCTGGTCTTGGGGCCGCACTTGGCTAAGATGGCACCTGGCGATCAGCCAGAAGGTGTTACCGAGGGTTGTGACGAAAAATCCGACCACCTCTAGGGTAGGCTCAGAAGCCTTCCGCCCTCGAGGACAGCTGTGTCTCCCTCACTGCCTGTAGGACGGGTGTGCACGTGAGCTCTCCCCACCCTGCTGACCTTCACCCTGACTGGCTCCTGTGCCTTATGTCAGCTGTGGGTGCTTCCTCACTGAAGGAGCTCCAGCCTTGACTGGTCTCCCTGACGCGTCTGATTGTCCTCCAGCGAGGGAGGTGGGTGCGGGCGGTCAGTCGGCCCTCTCCTTTCTTGGCTAGTCCTGGCCGGGGTGCGTTCTCCCTATCTCTCCTGCAGGTCGAGAGGGAACGAGGACTAAAAACCCTGACACTGCCCACCCTGTCCAACTCTGCCTGAGCCCTAGTGGCTGGTCCTGCCCCTCCAGGATGGGGTTTCTTGAGGCAAGGCCAGGTTTGTGTGGCCTTAGGGCTGGCTCACTGCTTTGTCCAGGGAAGTCCTGAGGGGGTAGGAGTTGGGAAGCACAAGGCTCACTGGGGTCAACAGCTGGGCACAGTGTGCAGTGCAGAAGGGCCTGCTGTACAGAGGGCGTCCACGCATTTCCAAGATCAGCATATGGGCTTCTACACCGAGCCCACAGCTCAGCAGAGAGCACTCCATGGAACAGAGACTTGACGGGTCCCGACCAGGTCTGCAGGTCCGCCCTCACACAGGGTTCGAGAGCAGGCTCCTCTCTCCATAGGTGACACAGTACACACCACAAACAGGAAGAGCAAGGCCACACTGGGAGACTGCTGAGCCACCATCCAGCTTCATGGAGGTGCTCGGCAGGAAGAAGTAGGAGACGGAGGTTGCCCCCGGGGAAGGAGAGCTTTGTGAAGAGCCGTGAGTTCCCTGAATAAGATGTCTGCTACCTGACGTGACAGGGTGTCTGCAAACACAGGTCACAGAGCTTCATCAGATGAGCAGTTGGACTGCAATGAGCACAGAGGGAAGGACAGACCCTGGGCACAGGCAGCTCAGAAAATGAGTCAGAATCACCACAGAGAGGCCAAGTGCCAAACACAGCCTCTGCAGAGCAGAAGGGCAACACCCACAGAGGCCGGACATTGCTCGGGAGGAGACAGAGCGGGACTGGAAGGCGGTTGTTGGCAGCAAGTCACAGGAACCCACAGGTAACCCTGGGTCCTGCAGGACAGGAGGGATGCACGGGGGGACCTAGGGTCACCATGGGCCTCCAGGACAGGAGGGATGCACGGGGGGACC